GGTAGCTACAGTGAGAGTAAAAGGTAGATGGAGTATAAGAAGAATAGCACCAGTGGGTTTATATAAAGGATAAAAGTTAGCTCGAGAGCATGGGTAATGAGAAGATCGAAGGGATATAGAGTAGATTTAAATATGCAGTGCTAGTGTGTGCAGCAGAAGTTTGTGGGTACAGGTGGGAGGTGGAATGATGGGGTAAAGAGGGTAGTAACAAAGAAAATGTTAGCACATGAGCGATTTCTATATTGTAAAAAACTTTGATATGCTAACTTTTCTCTATCTTTTTTTCTGCAGCACTGTAAAGCCCTTGTGGTTTAGCACTTCTTTTTTATTATAATAATAATATCTTTTTTCCCTCTTTACCTCACTCCTCTTCTCAACTGTACCCTTCTTCCTCTATCCACAAGCTTCTGCTGCATAGTCTAACACAGTATTCCTGAATCTACCCGAATCTGCCCGAAATGCCCCAGCATGATAGTGGCTATCTTTGGACTTAGCAAAACAAAATTGTAATTACATATTGTAACCTTTACAAAGAAGGATGAAGAAGTAGAGATAAGATAAAGATAAAGATCTTTATCTTATCTCTACTTCTTCATCCTTCTCATTACCTGTGTTCTCTTGAGTTCACCTTTATTCTTTACACTCACTAATAGGTACCTTTTGCTCTCATTGTAGCTACCAATAAAGACTGAAACGACATGTCACCCTTTCCTAAAAAAAAAAAAAAAAGAGGGTTTGGGAAGTTAAGAGTGATGAGGGAGTGCATAAGAAGAGCCAATGAGATATCCATAAATTTTGCTGAGAATAAGAGTTTTGGATGGAGATTAACAAGTAGAGAAAGCTAGGAGTAAATGGACTGTGCTGTTAAAAATGAAAGTGGGAAAATCTTAGATGGCAAGGTGGAAGTTTTGGAAAGATGGAGAGAGTATTTTTAGGAGCTGTTAAATGATATGAAAGGAAGGCATTGATTTTGTGAACTAAGCAGGAAGGAATAACATCTTATAGAAGTAAGGAAGAATCAGATGTATGTGGGGGGGGGGAGTATGTGAGGCAGTGGGTAGAATAAAAGGTGGCAAGTCAGCTGGGACAGATGCTAAAAGCAGGTGGGGATATAGTTTGTGTGGTTAGTGTCCTTATTAACCCTTTCACTGTCGGTGCCATAATATTATGGCTTGCAAGCCAGTGTTGGTGCCGTAGCATTATGCCAAAATCTAGCGGCTTCAAATGTAGTGGGAGAAAGCTGGTAGACCTACATGTGAGAGAATGGGTCCATGTGGTCAGTGTGTGTAGTATAAAAAAAAAAAAATTGGGGAGCCAGTGGTGCATTATGAGAAAGCCATTTCAGTAGTCCTTGATTACCATGCCTCGTGGTAAGAAGTATCTCACTCCCCGGTGAATTGGGACTCTTCTCTTCCCAAGTGATAGTTCTAACACAGATGGAAGTGTCAGTGAAAATGAATTTCATGGTTTTGAAGAGTTTGTGACTGAAAGCAATGCCCAGGATACCAGATGCAGATAGGGAAAAGGGAAGACAGCATGGATGGTGAGGGTGGGTAAGACAGCATAGGTGGTTGGGAAGGCGGCATGTAAATGAGTTTATTCAGGTATACATGAATACAGTTACGTACATAGATTATCATACATAGCAGCATGTGTAGAGAACCTAGGATAACCCAGAAAAGTCAGACAAAGTAACTTACTTTCCAGTGTGGGTGGTGAGGAGGGCAGTGTGGGTTTGTGTAAACAAGTTTTGTAAACAATATAATGATAATATTTGTGCAGTTATTGTATTGCATACAACGAGTGGATATAGTATATACATTATGCATTATACTGGTCTCACAGGCCACACAAATTACTTGAAAAATAAAATACGTATTAGAAAAGAAAAAACAGAATAAAAGTAAAAATAATATTACCGAGTGAAAGGCAGTCGCCGATGTTGCTGTAAGCAGTTCACTTTCTGTCAACTTCACGCCTCTATATCTCGGTAACTACTGATCATAAATTTTTTTTTCTTTTATAACACTCAGAAAATTATTCTCAAGATTTTGGTAAGAAAAAAATATATATATTTTTTTTTAATATTTTTCGACACTGAGAGCAAGTTTGTGAACAAGACTCTCGACAGTGAAAGGGTTAAATATGAGAATGAAAGGTAAGGTACCTACGTATTAGCAGACAACATGCAGTTTTTGTGTAAAAGAAAATAAGTGTGTAAGAATTATAGGAAAATAAATCTGTTGAGTACACTGGGTAAAGTGTATGGAAGATTATTGAAAGGATAGAAAAACAAAATATGGGACTGCAATTTGCAGAGGAACCAGGAGGATTTAGAAAGGGTAGGGGATGCGTAGATCAAGTGTTTACTTTGAAGTATATAAATGAATAATACTCTGAAAAAGGTAAGGAACTGTTTGTTGCAGTTATGAATTTGGAAAAAGCATATGATAGGAAAGTATCGTGGCAGATGTTGCAAAATGCATGGAATAGGTATGTTACTAAAAGCAGTAAAGAGTTTTTATGCAGAGAGTGAGGCTTAGGCTAGGGTATGTAAAAGAACAGGGGACTATTTCCCAGTTAAAGCAGGCCTTAGACAAGGATGTATGATGTCACCATGATTGTTTACTATACATATTTATAGATGGTAAAAAAAAAAAAAAAAAAGTAAATGTGAGGGGTGTTGGGAGAGGTGCAGGATTAAGATATAATGAATCTGAGTTGTCATGGTTGCTCTCTGCTGCTGATATAATTTTTTGGTAGATCCTTTAAAGAAGTTGTGAAGGAATCTGGGAAGTTATGCAAAAGAGATTAAAAGTTAATATAGAAAAGAGCAAGGTAATGAGACTAATAAAATGTATAAGCAATGAAAGACTGGCTAATAGATGAGAGAGAGGGAGTATGGAGGAAGTGAATATATTCAAATACTTAGGTGTTGACATGTCAGTAGATAGGTCTATGAAAGACTAGGTGAACCCCCAAAAAAGACAAGGGTAGGCAGTGCATTGAAGCAATTGTGAAAAGGAAAAAAAAGTTCATCTATGGAGGCAGAAAGGGGAATGTACCAGAATATAGTGATGCTAACACTTTTATATGGGTGTGAGGCAAGGGCTTTAAATGTTGTAGCAAGGAAGAGGCTGGAGGCAGTGAAGATGTTGTATTTGGGAGTAATGTGTATTGTAAATATAATGCAAATAATTCATAGCATAAAAATTGGGAGATGGTCTGAGGCCACTAAATGTATAGGTCAAAAGGCTTAGGTGGTATCTGGGCATTTAGAGAGTATGGAACAGAAAAGGATGGCCAAGAATGTGCATAAATCTGGAGAGTAAGGAGTTGGAAAGAAAGGGCTAAAGAAAGTTCTGAGTGCTAGGGGCTCAAGCACTTTGAAGGGGGATGAGGATATTTGTAGCTTTAACTGTAGTATCAGGGTGCCTCTGGCAAGACAATGATGGAGTGAGTGAAGGTAAAAGTTTTTTTTTTTTTCCTTTTTGGGTCCCCCTACCTCAGTAGGAAATGGCCAGTTTGTTAAAAAAAAAAAAAAAATCAAGAGATCCAATCAATAATTCAATTCCATGCTACAAATAGGAAATTTATCAAATGGAGAGAACTTCCTACAATTTTGAATCAAATGAGCGTTCCCAAGTTCTTAACCCTTTGACTGTTTCAGTCGTATATATATGTGTTTTTGGATTTAAACACCGACTTTGAGGTGTATTTTCGTATAGATTTTATGGTTATATTCTCATTTTCTTAGTCACATTTGATAGAACGTGATTTTGATTGGTTTTACTATGAAAAGGACCTTGAAATGGAGCTCAAAGTAGGGAAAATGTTTGATTTTTGCCGATGTTCAAGAGTAAACAAATGACGACATTGTCCAATAAATGTCCAACTAGCCATTCTAATATGCAGTCATGAATGGGTTGACATTATTTATACAATTATTACAATACTGCAGTAGTCTACGTAACAGTAAATCTTCTATTTTTTGTTTGAATAAAAATTCAAAATAGAAAGCAAGAGTAATATCAGAGGGGCCTGGAGACGTGACTGATAAACAAAGAAAATGTTATTTTAGAGCCAGGAATGTCTGCATTGTTCATTCTGGACCCTATTTTGAAATTGGCATATTTTTTAATTTGAATGAAATTGGCCAAACTGCCAATTTCTGATCACTTTATTGGGTAGTTTAAATCAGTAAACGGGCAGTTTCTTGCACTCAATTGATAGAGCAAATGGAGTTCTAAAGAAATAGCTATGAGTTTGGTCGACTGGAACAATGGAATCATCCGAAAATAGGGCTCAAAGTGGGCGAAATCACCGAGGTCGCTTACTTCGCTAGAGCATAATTCCGTAAGCTTTCCATCAAATTTCATACTCTTGGTGTCATTACCATCGGGAAAAGATTCTCTATCATTTGATAAGAATTTTTTTTTTTTTTTTTTTTCAAATATTTTGTGACACCTGGAGACACCTCAGGATTTGGGGTTGCGACAGTCAAAGGGTTAACTAGGTAAACACCTAGGAGTGTGTGCCCACCTTCAGTGAGTCCCTTTTAAAGGAAGAATTCCCTTTCCCATGTAAACCCAGGCAACACATTAGTCTAGCCCAGTTATGGGGTGTGCCATGTTAGGGGAAAGAACTACAGTATCTAAATGATTTCCTTCAAGGAGGGGAGGGGGTGCAAGAAAGCCATGATGCTGATGAAGGGCTCTTGATCCAAAGAACTGGAACTACCCTCCCTTACCATGGATCAAACTTGATTGCCTCCCATTCCCCAGGCACTTTATGACCCCAAGGAGTTTGGCACTTATGTGTACTGTAAATATAATAATCACTTAGTGGAGAGAGTACGTGCCTTGAATTTGGTGAAGGGCTAAATTCAAGGAAAGTGAGTTGCCTTCCCTTTCCTCGAATCAAACCTGATTACTTCCTATTCTCCAGGCACCATATTATCCTAATCAGTTCAGCACCTATCCATGAATATAATCTAATACCTCTATATTGATGCCCTTGTTCCTCATGAACCGGATAATTCGTGTATCCACGTGGCTTCCTTTATCTCCTATGCCAATCACAAGAATATCTGAAAAAAATATATACTTCAGCATAAAGTAAAATGGTAAAGCTGAGGTATCACAGCAGATAAATATAAAATAGCCTGTTAAGCAGGGTCACATACCTGTGATTGGAAGTTACCAGTAATGCCCAATATAACAGGATATTTAAAGAGATTTTGAGACTGCCAACCTTATATATATTGCAACTCTAGCCCATAGTCATTCTTTTCACCACAATCTCTTGCAATATCTTCCAGCCTTGCTCTCCCTCTTTTACCCAACTTACCTTAGCCAGTCTACAGTCACTCAACCCCTCAATGAAACAAGGAATTTTACCTAGTCTTTTCTTACAGGTATCAAACCTGCTTCTCCCCCATTCACCCAGGCTCTTTATGATCCCTAAAGGTTTGGTGTTCCCCCAACCCCATTTATTTATTTACTAATTTGAACATGATACAGAGAAGTTCAAAAGAATACAGTTAAATGCAGCATGCCAAAGCCACATGAATGCATAGCATTACAGGCAGGCTTAAAATTAACTTAAGATTAACTAAGCAATGAAGTATTCAGTGGTAAAACATTATTGTAAACAGATAACAATTAAGCACAAATGAGTATTACAAAAACAGGTCGTATGGTTGCTTGCATTGCTGTACAATCAGTATTTATTTATTTATTTATGGGCAGGCTTAAAATTAACTAGAGATTAACTAAGCAATGATATATTCAGTGGTGCAAAAATTATTGTAAAACAGATAACAATTTAGTACAAATGAGTATTACAAAGACAGGTCATATGGTCATTTAATGTGTTGCTGTGTAATCAGTTGAATGGAGTATTCTGTTAGGTAATGAAGTTAAATAGTAACAAAGTTTGATTGGGTCACAGGTTGACATTTATGGGATACAATAATGAGATACATATATGAGATACAATTTATGAGATACAATTATTCAGTATTTATTTAGTTGACACTTACCTTTATTGAAGATCTGGTGATGATTGATGGGATGGGAGGAGGGGAGAGTGTGGAAGTTGTTAATGTTTAGAAGAGGAATCCCCTTCCATTAGGACTTGAGGTATCAAGTCCTTCTCTGGGTTAATTCCCTTCTTCTTTTAATGCCACTAGGACCAGCTTGAGAGTCACTGGACCTCTGTCGCGCAACATATCTGTCCATAGAGGCCTGTACCTCCCGTTCCTTTATGATTTGTCTAAAGTGGTTCACAGCATTGTCATTGTAATAGTCACCAGCACGGCTTGCAATAGCTGTGTGAGGGTGATTTTCATCCATAAAGGTTTGCACTTCAAGCCACTTTACACACATTTCCTTAATCTCTTTCTTCATATCCATAGTATTTCTCACCCTTTTTCCTGCAGGGTTGGCACTAGAAGCTTTCTTGGGGGCCATGGTGACTTATTTTGCAGGTACAATCACTAAAAACACTGTGATAATATGAAATGTTCCGATTGTATGCGTGGATGCGACCGCACTGGCTGGCTTGTAAACACTGGCACCCATGGGACAACTGAGGCGTGCTCAGGCCACACGTGGACGCATCTCGAACGAATTGTGTAGGGCGAGGTTTTTAGCATTAGCTGAGGCAAAATTTTTGCGTTAAAATGTATCGTATGCTGGTTTAACGTAAGTTGATGCCATCGTTAGCTGAGGGTCCACTGTATTGCATAATAGTAAATCTATTTTTTGGTTTGAATAAAAATTCATTATGTGAATAAAAAAATCAAAATGGAACTCATTTGTAAAGTCTGAAAACATAACTAATGAACAGAGGAAATGCTAATTTAGTGCCAGGAATGTCTGCATTGTTTATTCTGGGCCCTATTTTGAAATTGGAATATTCTGGACTTTGCATTAAATTGGCCAAATTACCAATTTCCGATCACTTTATTTTGTAGTTGAAACAGTTGACTTGGCGATTTCTTGTGCTCAATCAATACAATAGAAGTAATACTAGTGAAATAGCTAAGAATTTGGTCGACTGGAATAACATAATTGGCCTAAAATGGGAGTCAAAGTTGGCAAAATCGCCAATGCGTAAATATCGCTGACGCATCAAAATTCGCAAGAGCATAATTTCGTCAATTTTCCATCAAATTTCGTACTTTTTGTTTTATTACTTTCAGAAAAAGATTCTCTACCAATTCATAAGAAAAAATAACAAAATTATTTTTTGAAAATTCTTGGACCCTAGTACACACTTTGAAATTTGGCCTCTTGACCCTGAAAGGGTTAAATTCACTAACGTCAGCACTCGTTCCAGGCGTTTTCTTTATGAGATGATCATGCAACTGCCTTGCCATTTTGCAAATTGTCGACTGCACAATACTATCTCCCACTAATTGTTTCTCGTTGATCCACAACAACAACTTCTCCACTTGTTCAACTGCTTGTGATCTCTGTTTTATTATCACATTTACCCCTTTCACAACATCAGCTTCCTTGATTTCTCTTTTCTTCGCCACAATGGAACTGATGGTTGATGGCACCTTCCCGTACATCCTGGCGAGGTCGGGAACATGTACGCCACTATCATATTTTTCTATGATTTCTTTCTTCAATTCTACAGTGTTCCTCACTTTCTTTACCAAAGGACTGGCACTAGGAGCTTTCTTTGGGTCCATGGTGGATTATTTAGCAGTCACACACAATAAACAAGTGCCAAAAACAATGGATTATTACGAAATGTTTCGTATGACCGATAACAGAGATTGACAAAAAGGGAGGGTCCACTGTACATTGTAAAATGCTCCAAACTTCAGAAAACCTGTGACTTAACCTGATTCTTTTTTCCCCTTCTCCCTCTTTTTCCTTTGGGTTTTCTTTTTTCTACCTTGGATATTTCTCCTTTATTATTATTTTTTCCCCCTCTCTGTGTTCTTGCTCCTACCCTCTGTGGGCCCTAGCTCCCTTGTAGTGCTCCTCTTTCTTAGTATTTGACTGACTCCATCACTACCTCTCTTGCTCCCATCAATGTCTGCTGGCCTATATAACTATACTCCCTCCTCTCCTTTTCGTTAGTGTGACTTTGTAAATGGTCCAAGTCGGACCGAAACGTCATCGTAAGTTCCTCTCTTCTATGTGCGGGTTATCTGTGTATTATTAAAGCCATATAGCATGAACTAGTTGAATATTCAATTTTCTTGTATTCACTGTAACTCACCTAATGACCATATGTACAATTACAGCACTGTTATTGCCTTATTAATCTTCAGTTAGTCTTAAGCTTGCCCAAAATGCTCTGCATATACAGGGGCTTTTGGCATGTTCACCAAATTGTTACACTCCTTTCTACAAACATGTATCATGCTAAAATAAAATTGTTATTGTTATCAGTCTTTTATTTAATTTAAAATTCACATTCTTTTGTATTTGTCATATTTTGTTTTCACATTCATACTTTCTTCAAGAATACATGCCTCATTCATAGAAATGCTGGAAGTGTATAATATAGCTTACCTATTTTTGGTTCTAGTAAATAAAAAAGAGAAAGCGAATCTTCATTTATATCGTGTGAATTTGTGACACACCAGCTTAGCACAGTCTTGGGGAAGATGGCAATGGGGCCAATCAGAGACATGCCATTGTTGAGACTGAACCCAACCTGAAATAAATAATATGCCTTTAGGCATGAAGTTGTGCTATATCTATGGTATTCATGTATTCACAGTGATGTAAAATTGTTTAATTGTTTGATGTAATACTGTTGAACTCTATAATCCATAACAAGCAAATAGCCTGTGAAATATTTTAACTTGTCTTCCTGTCTATATGCAGTAGTTTCTTTTACTATCTATGAATATCTTGAGAACTATCTAGATAATTTATGCTGGATTTTTACCCAAAAAATTTACAACTGCTAATAAATTGATGACCAGATAGTCATTTCTACACAGTGGCGTCGCTAGGGTTGGTGTCACCGGGGTGGAATCTTTGGTATCACCCGTATGAAATCCAAGGGCAGGGGATGGGGGGAGTAAACTTCAGTTACGTCACTACTGCATGACTAATGTTTAGCAATGAGAACGCTTAAGGTAATAAACCGAACAGGAGAATACTTCTCAACTTTATTAACAATAAAATAAATAATCCTAGTAATATTGAGGAAACAAACTCAAATACCACTTTGAGTACAGGCAACAGATCCTACATTTATTCATCTTCAACAATGCAAAAAAAAAAAAAAAAAAAAACTTTGAAAAATAAAGAAAAACATTGCAATATCAGAGAAACACTAATTCTGATTTGACCTTTAGTACAGGTAACATCTCAGTGAATCTGATCTTACATTTCCTTGCCTTCATTCCTGCAAAATCATCTATCACATCAAAATCAATGATTTTCCCTATACAGTGGAACCTCAATTCGCGAGTTTAATCCATTTCATGACCTTGCTCGCATCTGGATTTGCTCGTTTGCAAAGTCAATTTTCCTCTTTTAAATTAACTGAAATGCAATTAATCCATTCCCGGCTCTCAGGAGGCTCGAAAAGATACTTCAATATTTCGCTAATATCATCTATACGACTTGCATATTTATCTATCACAATTCATCTATTATGACATAATAAACAATATAAATAACATAGAAACCTGATATATACTCTAGAATGAATGAAAGTACATTATGTCATTATGTAGCTGGTGAAGGTGGCCACAACTGCTCCTGCTTTGTTGTGGTAAACACTGCCATCTAGTGATGGCCTTTTGAAGCCATCTGTTATTATAATTATTACATTATTATTAAGTAAGTTTATTCAGTATACACAAATACAGTTACATAGATTGTGCTCTTCAAGGGGGGCTCCTTGGCTTGGTGAAGAGGCTCTTGGTTTGAGGAATTAGACCTGTCGGTCTCCCTCCTCAGACCGAACCTAATTACCCCCCAATCCCCCCCTTCCCTATCCCATCCTCCCCTTTTTCCTTTCCTCCTCCTCCCCACCCCTCCCTTTTGCCCTCCTTTTTTGGCCTTTGGAATTTTTCCCACAGGCATGCTAGTTCCTGGGTAGGGGAAAGGGTACCAGGGTCCATCCCATTCCATCGAGGTTCTTGGCGGTGGCGTAGTTTGCTGTGGAATCTGGATCGCCTGGGGATGTCCCGATCCCTCTCCGGTATCCCGGAGGGTGGCTTTGGGTGTCTTTCGGGCGACGGGTGTATCTCTGGAAGCCACCTTTCGGATTCCGGGGGTGGTGGCCGAAGGAGGTATGCTTTGTGGCGGATATCCGGCCGCCCTCTCTTTTGTCCACCGAGATAGCGGCAGATGTGAGGTTGCTATCCCGGATTGCTGGTTTACTGGCATGATGGGTAGGGTATGGCACGGGTTCCATGCTGCATCTGCGCTACTTGCGGTGCTGAGGTCCTCTTGGGCGCGGAGGGAGATTTCTGGCCCTTTCATTCCTCCTAGGAACTATCCCTCCCCGGTCCCCCTTTTTTTATTTTTATTTTCTTCTTTTTTTCTTTTCTTAAAAACAAAAAAAAAAGTAATCTAACCATGGAGTACCCGATCCATGACCCCACTACCCCCGGGCCCCTTATTGTTACCGCACCCCGTTCTGACCTCGCCTCGTCGTTTGGTCACTCCTCGGACATTCCTAAGGCCCCTGTACCTCTTGCTGGTACAGTTTCCTCACCTGCTTCAGGTACCGGGGCTTCCACTGACTTCTTCGATTTGTCTGACCTCCGCTCTCCTTTGACTATGCTTTCGGCTTCTCCCTCTACGGTGCAGCGATTTTCGAATCGCCAGCCCGTCCCACGTCGGACCGACTCTGGTCCCACTTCTAAACGTCAACGACAATCTCCTAATGATGTTACTTCGTTACCTTCCCTTTCTACTCGGAAAAGACCGACACGTCAAGTACTCCCTCTCCACACTCAATTTCAGACCACACAATGGACTAAATTCTTTACATTAAGACCGACTTCGTCTACTGCCTATCTTTCCGACCATAGTACAGTGGTCCCTCGTTCGTAATTAATCCGTTCCTGGAGCCGTTACTATAAACAAAATTTACGATTTATGAATCAATTTTCCCCATAAGAAATAATGTAAATACAATTAATCCGTTCCTGACACCCAAAAGTATTAAAACAAAAAAATTTTTAACATGAAATATATATGTAGTACATAAACAATACAATGGGAAATGATGAATGAAACATTAACAGCATAACACTTACCTTTATTGGAGATTCTTCTTAGTGTATGGGAGACTGGAGGAAGAGAGAGAGTGGATTGTTTATAGTTTGGAAGGGAATCCCCTTCCATCAACACCTCAGGTACCATTTGCTTTTCTGGGGTTGCTTCTCTTCTCTGTTTCTTAATGCCACTAGGACCACCTTGAGAGTCACTGGAGTCCTGTCTCACAAAATAACTGTGGAGAGAGCTCTGTTTCTGGCGTCTCTTTAACACTTCCCTAAAATGGCCCAAGAATTTGTCACTGTACATGTTGCCAACCTGGCTTGCAACAACCTTGTTAGGGTGATGTTTCTCCATAAAGCTTTCCATCTTACCCCACATAGTAAAAATCTCTTTAATTTCTGAAGAAGGCACCTTCTTCCATCTCTCTTCCTCCTCCTCTGCAGCAAGATTCTGAGCTGCGATGTGTTGCTCTTCCTGCTGAAGCCCTTGCAGCTCCTCAGTGGTGAGCTCTTCATTGTGGTCTTCCACCAATTCTTCCACATCCTCCAAACTCACATCCAACCCCATGGAACTCCCAGTGCCACAATTGATTTTACAACAGACATAGGCTCATTAGGGTCAGTCCCAAATCCTTCAAAATCCCTCTTGTCGACACAATCTGGCCACAATTTTCTCCAGGCAGAGTTCAAAGTCCTGGTAGTCACTCCCTCCCAAGCCATACCTATAAGGGTTATGCAGTGGAGGATGCTGAAGTGTTCTCTCCAAAATTCCCTTAGGGTCAAGTGAGTGTCTGTGGTCACAGTCAAGCACCTGTGAAACACTGCTTTTGTGTAGAGTTTTTTAAAGTTTGCAATAACCTGCTGGTCCATGGGTTGGAGGAGAGGAGTGGTATTCGGGGGCAAGAACTTTACTGTGATGAACTCAAACTCCTCGAAAATTAGGTCATCCAAGTTTGGAGGATGAGCAGGTGCATTGTCCATTACTAGCACGCACTTGAGATCCAATTTCTTTTCCAGGAGATACTCCTTCACACTAGGGCCAAACACTTCATTGAACCACTCGACGAAAATTTCCCTTGTGACCCATGCCTTACTATTAGATTTCCAAAACACACACAATTTACTCTTCATAACATTGTTTTTCCTGAACACTCTGGGATTTTCAGAATGGTACACTGGTAATGGCCTCACTTTGAAATCCCCACTAGCATTAGCACAGAACATTAGCATCAGCCTGTCTTTCATAGGCTTGTGTCCTGGCATTGCCTTTTCCTCTTGTGTAATGAAGGTCTTCTTTGGCATTTTCTTCCAAAAGAGGCCTGTTTCGTCACAATTGAACGCTTGTTCAGGTTTCAGTCCTTCAGCCTCTATGTACTCCTGGAATTCATGCACATATTTTTCAGCCGCCTTGTGGTCCAAACTGGCAGCCTCACCATGCCTTACCACACTGTGTATGCCAGTATGGTTCTTAAATCTCTCAAACCAGCCTTTGCTGGCCTTAAATTCACTCACTTCACCACTATTTGCAGGCAATTTCTTTACCAAATCTTCATACAACTGTCTAGCCTTTTCACAAATAAACAAAGTCATAAGAGTATCTCCTGCTAATTGTTTCTCATTTATCCACACCAATAATAACTTCTCAACCTTTTCCAGTACTGGTGATCTCAATTTTGTCAGCATAGTTACTCCCTTTGCAACAACAGCATCCTTTATTTCATTTTTCTTGGCCACTATGGAGCATAAGGTTGTGTAGGGTTTCTTATACATCCTGGACAGTTCGGCCACACTTGTACCACTTTCATATTGTTCAATGATGGTTTTCTTAAATTCAATCGTATTTCTCACCTTCTTTACCACAGGCTTGGCACTAGGAGCTTTCTTTGGAGCCATGGTAGCTTATTTAGTGTACTTGCAAGCACTAAAATAAATGGAATATTATGAAATATTTCGCTGGAGCACATGAGGGGACCTTCGCTCACTGGTAAACAATGCCAGACTGGCTGCCGCCCTGGCTCATGCCATGGGTACACGTCCCGGACGAACTACAACTCGTGAGTCAACCTATGAAAAGCGAGTCCATGTTTATACGAAAATACCCCTATGATTGGCGAATTTTACGATTGCCGGGAACTACAAAAAGCGAGGGACCACTGTATTGGCAAAGAGCTCCTACGCCACGTTGGTAGAGATATTTCCTTTCATGCTCTTAAGAGTGGTATGCGCATCATCACAGTCCAGAATTCTACTCAAGCTCATGATCTTTCTCTTCTTTCACATATCGATACTATTCCTATCACTATCGAAAAACATCATTCCCTCAATTCTTGTAGTGGTACTGTTATTCTGCCCCATACCATAGTCCAACAGAATTTCCAGACATGTGGCACTGACATTCTCAAACAGCTGGAACTCCAAGATCTCCCAATTCTCAAGGTAGAAACTTATGTTCTTCCTGCCCGCGGGC